AATGGGGAGAATTCTAGTGTTATCACAAATAAAAAGAATACATTTTTATTTAAAAAAGAGAAAAAGTAAAGATTACCTCTTTCATGTCACCATTTTTTTATAACTGCTAATGTTTTTAGTCAGTGGAGAATGCTCAATTTCAACAGAAATCTTTCCTTCTGTAACCACTTGTAGAATGTCAATTAATCAAAGTTTGAATGGAAGGTGATTTCCTCAATGCAAGTACAGCATAGTTGAACCATTTTTGCAACAGTTTGCTTTTCTGTCTTTCTGACAAAAGCATAATATTTTCATTAAGAAAATCCCATTCTTTAGCTTCAAACACATCTTCCCTACTGCAACTAAGATACAGGAGGTACACATCCTATCAGAAACAGTGTGAGCCTGTTTTTCCAAAGAGAGAAGGGTTTCAATGATTTTGTGAAGTCTTCCTTCCTTGGTCAGCTTCTCACACTTGAGCAAATGCTGGTCCACCATGGTGCTGTAGTCCATCTCCATCTTGACAACGCACCCATCAGCCCACTCCAGGCCTCCACCTGCCATGGTCCATGCTTGAGTGTCTCTTGATTTGGCCCTACTTCAAAAGATTCAATTAGCTCAGTACCCTTTCCTTTCTGTTTTCCATCCTCTCAATATTTCTCTTAATAATAAAAAGGGCCATATGTTACCCTACATTGTGAATTGAATCTGCACAATTTTCCTAGGGCTATTTGATTTTAAGTCTTAATGCCTTTACTTGCCTGTATACTCAACTACTCAATTTCTATGAAATCCTGCCCTACATCCAAGCTGTTAAATATATTCAAGTCTCATGGAACTGGAGAGGATAACGCTAAGAGAAGTAAGTCAGAATGAGAAAGACAAATACTGGCTGGTCTCACTTATATGTGGAATATAGAGTAAAACAACAAAGGGTTCATCCAAAACCCAACCAGTAGTAAACTCTCTAACTATAAAACGGAGGCAACCAGAGGGGAATGGTGGTGGGATAGGAGTGGGAAGGGAAGGGACCCAGTGGAACATGGTGGAGGATTGTGGGGACACTGGTGGTGGGCAGGATGTGAAAGTGTACCTTTGTAGAGGTTGGAACCTATAACCCCCAGAGCAGATACAAAGATACATACCTATATCTTAATAAACATAATTTGGAGAAAAATATATTCAAATTGTTTCTCTTTAAAAAAAAAAAAGGACAAACAATCATGCTTAGTGAAATAAGCCAGAAAGAAAAGGAAAAATACTGGATGGCTTCACTCATAGCAGGAGCATAAAGGAACAGGGGAAAAAAATTATAATGAATAGCTATATACCAGAGACATTTTACAGGGGTGGAGTGGGGAATGGGATCAAAAATGGTGGTGGTGGGGGAAGTGCACTGGATTATTGTGATGGCACGTGGGTGATTTGGTGATGGGAAGCCCATGGGGATTGCAACTGAGATGGAAAAAGGTACTAAGTGGTGTCAAAATAAACTATTATTTAAAAAAAAATAATAAACTTGCTATATTGGTACTAAAAAAAAAAGAAAAAGAAAAAGAAAACAAATCCTTCTTTGACAATGCATTGCTCCCTAGGTACTATATTCCATTTTTGTAGGAAGCTTCTCACAAGAATAATCTCTATGAAATATTTCCTCTTCCCCACTTCTGATGCAGTTTTCAATCCACTGTAGGCTGGGTCCTACCTCCAGTGCTCTACAGAACTACTCTTTTTTTTTAGGTAATTGTCTAATTTAGTGGCCATCTCTCAGGCCTTATCTTATTTGACCATTTTACTGTATTAAACACTATTAGCATGTACCTGCTTCTTTTGGAAACATATTTTTACCTCTCAGATCACTCCCACTTCTCAGACTATAAGCTTCTTTTCCTGTGCCTGCCCTTTAGGTGTTTTTTTTCTTTCTTTCTCTAAGTGGAAGTAATTTTATTTTTCCTGAGGAAAAAAGGGACATGTAGGCCCTCCCTGGTGGCGCAGCAGGTTAAAGCACAGCACTAAGAAGCTTAAGCCACTTCTGCATGAGTTCGATTCCTGCCTGCCCAGGAGGAGATCTACATGGCGAGGCAGACCTCTCCTGACCCGCCCACTGCTCTCCTCAGCAGTGTACTTCATCCATCTGCCTGTTCTGAGCCCCACTCTGTCTATGGTGAATCCTCTCACCCTCCACATCTCTGGCCTGTACCCCAGTTCTGTATGAATAAATAATCTTTAAAAAAATGATATATATCATATACAAGAATACAAATGGCATCATATGACACTATTTTTACCAGCTTTTTTTCACTTTTTTTGTGGGCATCATTCCTTATAAACTAGTATAGATTAGGAGAACACTGAATTTGTACATTTACACTAGAGATTGAATTTTATAATGAAAGTGACTGAGATACAAAATCTGTAAAACATAGAACCCACTACTTTTTTGTAAGCCTCGTCATACAAACAAATCCACAAATTATGGAAAAACCATGGAATGAATGCAAATGCCCATTGACAAATGACTGGATAAAGAAATTGTGGAATACAGACTCAGTGAACTATTAAAAAAAGATGAAACCATGACTTTTGACATAAAATGGATGGATCTTGCGGTGATTATCTTAAGTTAAATAAGTCAGAAAGTGAAAGACAGTTACTGACGGTTTCACTCATTTTCAGACTACAAATGCCAAAACTGGCAAAGCACAGCAAAAAAATTTCTTAGGCTCTGTGAAAAATATACTGAGTGCCAGAGGGAATGGTGGTGGTGATGGGGGTGAGTGAAGAAGGGATAGGGAGGGGCTGGGGCATGACATTAGCACTGGAGCTTTGGTGAAAGGTGAGTGAAGCTCATATGAAGCATGTGCACATATGAAGGAGTAAAAATGTAAACCTCCAAATTAAAAAAAATAAATTCAAAAGCAATTAAATATAAACAAAATGAAAATGAAAACCAACTCTCTGCTATCTCTGACTCCTCCACTTCTGCTCTCTATTGACTACCAGTATTATAAGTTTCTAGAGGTCAAAATGTTTTTAATACATACTGCCAATTTGTCTCCCAGAGAGATTGCAAACATTTACATTTTCTTCAATGCTGCATGCTCTCACTGATTTTTAAGTCTTCTGTCCTTGCTTCTTCACATTTTCCTTTTTTTATATTGTATGTTTATGACTTCTACTCTCTATCTCTAACCCTGATCATATGCTCAAGCTCCTGGCCGGTATTTCCAGTCTCTGCTGGACATCTCAATCTCATGTCCTACAGAAACACCCCCTATTTATCTAGAGGCTTACTATTTTGTACATATTTCATTTTATTTAATTCTCATAAAAGCCCTGGAGGTAGCTTTAAGTTTTATCCCTTCTATTTTACAGATGAGGAAAATTCTGGCTAAACTGTTCAAGGTTATGCAGTTAGGCAGCAGGGATTAAAATTTAGGCAGCCTAAACTCCTGGCTCACATACCTAAGTCCTACACTATATTCCATCATATTTAATCAGATACAAGTCCTATCTATTTTATTTCCTCAAACTCAGTCCCCTCTCTTTCCCTTTCTCCTTTCTTCACTACCTATTTACAAGTCTTGGTGATACTGCTAGTCTTACTTATTCAACTCAAATACATCTTTCATGTTCCCTGCAAAATAATTCTTCTAAAACACAAATCTTATTATGTCTTTTTCCTGTTGAGGATTCTTCAGTGGCTCCCTGTCACCTACATCAGAAAGTCAGAGATCTTTTGCCTAATACAGAAGGCTCACTTTTTACTTGACCATCCCTAACTAGTCTACTTCTCTAAGCACTTTTATTAGACAATCAAAATTGTTAATTACTTAAAAATACCAGGCTAGTTCTTATCTGGACGACATTGCAGATGCTATTCCCTCTGCAAGAAATTACCTTTTCCCCACTCCTCTTCCTTGTTTCATGTCTGCCAAACTCAGGTGTCTTTTCCTCCTGGAAGTCGTAGCTATTTCTACCAACTATTCATGTCCTACGTGCTACTTTGAACATTTGATTATCTTGTATTTGTCACATTATGTTACAAATGTATTGAGGTCAAGGACTCTCAATTCCAGGTCTTTTGTGTTTAATTGAGAATGGGTTCTGGCACATAAGTAGTTGCTTAGTAGATATGGGTTAAATTGGATTAAATAACTTAATTACAAAATTATACACTGTTCAAAGAATGTCAGGCATCAGTGGTATGGAAACTGTTTTTGAGCAGAGGACAGCAGGTGCACCCTCTTCTAAAATCATCACATTGAATGTAGTGGGCTGTCCCCCTTTATGTGGGCTATTTGTTCATCAGCCATAGAAATATTAGTATTTCTATAGATATTCTCATGTAGATATGTAGTGTATCTCCATTATGGGCTGCAAGCAAACTTCAGAGCAGGGCCAAGTATGGAATTCTGCGGAGTAGAAATAGAAGGTATGAAACAAAGGCTGTTAATTCGTGGAGAAATACAACATCTGAGTCCATCTGGAGTTAGTGTTCATGTGGAAACACTGCACAATTTTCCTGAACAGGGAGGATGAGAATCATCTTTGTTTATCCCCACCCTCGCTGCTTTCCCAGCACCATAATGTTGAATGCTCAGCTGCGTGTGGAATAAACTGAAAGTATCAGTGGCACAAGCGGCAGGACTGCGTGCTAGGTTTTTGGTAGCATTGCTGGGAACCCCACCTCTGGAGAAGGCCCAGGGTTTTCGCGTAAAAAACTTTCTTATTCAGGTCACTGGGCTTTGGCCTATCACCGAAGAATCCTGGCGGTGCCCACGGTTGCCTGAAACGCGGTATAAAGCAATTTCTGGGCCTGGGCAGCGGCGATGGGCGGAGCCGGCTCTAAAGTGCTTCCCAGGATATTGGGTGGAGCGTCCGGGACATGCAGGTTCCGGGGCGGTCACAAATAACGCCCCGAAGCCTGAATGACTCCGCCTAGCTGCAGAACGCTCCACGTCCGCTGGGCCGCTATTCAGGGTACGGGGCCCGCCCTGGCGACGTGCGCGAGCGTGCGTGCGTGGGCGCGCGTGCGCGGAGCCGCCGTCAGTGCCCGGCTGGTTATTTTGCAAGCGGGAGGGGCCGTGCGCGCTCCTGCCTCCGGCCTCTGTTCCCCACCCCCCTTCCCCGGTCCGGTTCTTTCCTTCGGAAAGATGTCGGACACAGCAGTAGCTGACACTCGGCGTCTTAACTCGAAGCCGCAGGACCTGACCGACGCTTACGGGCCGCCAAGTAACTTCCTGGAGATCGACATCTTTAATCCACAGACGGTGGGCGTGGGCCGCGCGCGCTTCACCACCTATGAGGTTCGCATGCGGGTGAGTCACGGGGTGAGGGGGACCGCTGAGGGAGGACCGGGCGGTTGGGCGGGGAGGCGGGGGTGGGGGTGGCTGCCATGGGGATGGCGGAGAATACTCTTGGAAGGGTCATTTGGAGGTTAGGGGCATAATGGGTTTGGGGAGAGGTCAGCAGACTCGGTTGTGGCCCGAAGATACTGAGAACTCTTGAGGGGGGGAGGGCAGTGGACCGGGGTATGGAAAACAAGTACCCGTGAGCGAAAAGTGAGGTGTGGCTGTCCTGGGTAGGGAGGATGGAGAAGCTTAGAGTGAGGTATTCCAGGAAATAGGAATCACGACTGGAGCGACAGAAGGAAGGGAGGGAGAAGCGAGAGGGCTGGGGGATGGAAAACCTGGGCGATGTGGCGCTGGGCCCCAGAACTAAACTAGGTTGTGGAAAGTCACTCTGGGGATTGAGGGCTGGGAGGCCCAGTATTCTTTCTCAGCAGGTCTCCCTCAGATGGAGTTAATTTAAACAAAGCCTGGATTAAAAGGAAAGTAGACGTCAGGAAAGCAGACCTTGGACTTGGTGAAGCAGAAATAAAGGGAGTCTCCTTGAGAGAGTGCTTCCCAGACTCTGTCGAATTAGCAGGCTCCAGAAAAGTGTTAAATGCTTAAGTTTTCCCAGGTACTGCACGTGCTCTGGCTCCCACTGAAAGCTGGCCTGGCTTGCACCCGGAATGGTGGATTGTCAGTCCCTGCTCTCATCCTGTGCTGATCCTTTGAAGTATCCAGAATGTTGGCTTCCAGTATTACTGGCTCTCATCTGAATTTTCTGTAATGTAAAGTAGTGCCCTTAAGTCCTAGATTAACCTTTTCGTTTCAGACCCCAGTCTGAACTTAATTGGATAGATGACATTTCAGAAGTGGCTTCTTCCAATGTGCACTACCAAGGATTTTAGTACTTAGTCTACACTGCAAAGATGGGATGTGCAGGTAGGGTACTTGGTTTAGTAGGTTCTTATGCCAGTTGTCGTGGTCATAAACAAAAAACGTTTTAGAGCCATTTTGTAATGTTTTCTTGGACTAAACGACTAGAATGTTCTCTGTTACAGCACACTGCACAAACAGTATTTGAAGAACTGAAAGAGTTCTTGAATGAGTGAAAGAAAGAGATGAGTGTTCTCCTACCTGGGTTTTAACATCTAATGGAGAAATGATCCCAAATTTCAAGTTTGGCAAAGTTAAAAGTAAAGAAAGAAAAGTGGGTAGCAAGAAATGAGAAAAACTTGTCTGTATAAGAACAACTTGAAGTTATTTCTTTGGGGAAGAATGGAAAGTAGATCCCTCAAAATTGATAACTATTAGTGATAGAACTCAATTATCTGAGGAAGCCTGGGCATATCTTGTTCATTATAAAGACTTTCCAGGATGGAGTGTTGGGAGACATTTGTCTCTGCATTACCCAATAGGCTTGGGGATTGTGAGTGAATTAGTTCACTTCACTTCAGGCATTCTAATAAGAACAGGAGCTGTTCTTCGAATGCCTACAATGTGCTAGGCATTGGACTAAGTTTTATTTCTAAATCCTTATGAAAACCTCACTTTACACATAGGAAATTGAGGAGAACTGCAATGTAGGTAACTCACCCAAGTATACTTATCTTACGAGTGGCATGGCTAGGCTTTGAACCTAGCTCTATCTAATGCCAAAGCTCATCATACTCTTTGTACTATATATACTTCAGTCTCATTGGTCATTGCTTAGTTGCATAATTTTAGTCTAGTCTTTTTCTACTCTCTAAGCTTTTCATCAGTCCTTGCTGCAATTTTTTTTTCATTTTTTTCTTTATAATAATTTTTTTTCGTCATTTTGTACATTTTTTTCCCATCTCAATTGTAATCCCCGTGGGTTTCCCATCACCGAGTCACCCGTGTGTCATCACCATAGTCCCGTGCACTCCCCCCCCTCACCTCTCCCCCCCCCAATTTTTGATCCCATTCCCCACACCACCCCCACAAAATGTCTCTGGTATATGGCTGTTCATTATTCTTATTATTTCCTTGCCTGGTCCATTATACTCCTGCTATGAGCGAAACCATCTGGTATTTTTCTTTTTCTTTCTGGCTTATCTCACTAAGCATGATCTTTTCCAGCTCCATCCAAGTTGCCGCAAAAGACATGTGTTTCTCTTTTTTGGTTGCTGAGTAATATTCCATTGTAAGTATGTACCACATCTTTTTTATGCAGTCATCTACTTTTGGGCATTTGGGCTGCTTCCATGTTTTTCCAATTGTAAATAAAGCCCTTGCTGCAATTTCTAATTGTATAGTGTTACAGCTCCTACAGTTGATGGCAGTTCCAATTTCTGTGAGCTTGAGTTAATTTGTATTTATGTTGATATGTATGACTATATAGGCTTTTATTGAACTGTTTTGGAAAAAGTTGGTAAAAATCATACTTTTAAGTGCTTGATTGTGGTTGGCATTATTGAGAGCATGAGACAGAGAATGGGCTTTGGGAGTTAGGCATTCTGTGCAGTCGAAGCACATGACACTGACTTTCTTTTTGTATTATAGCTAAATATTTCTTTCTCCCTTTTTTTTGTTTCTCTTTAAATATTTCTGAAGTTGTTCTCTTTCATTTTTGCTCAGGAAAGAATTCTTCTCCTACCACCATCACCCTCAAGAAATGAGTCTGTAGAAGTGTCATGATGACTTTACATGATGTGTTTGGAGTAGTTGTTGTATGGGCTCAAACTTTGCTTATTCTCCTTCCCCTCGAATTTGTGTAGATCAGAGGCAAAGGGCTCTCTGTATCTTATCTGTATAATCCTGACTTCCTCACATGATTTGTAGGTTTGAACTGGGGGACTACCCTAATCCATAGTAGCCCTTTCCTTAGATTGCTAGGTGCTGAGAATAAAAGCTGTTATTGTCACTATCATGTGGGGGTAGGGAAAGAACAGCATTTTTGTGAATCAAAGAAAGAAGTCCACAAAATGGCAGTGGGTGGTTCAAGTGTGTCTGGGAAGAACCTATTTGGTAGGTTGGCTTCTGTAAAAAACCCACTATAAAATTACAATAACATTTATAATGAACTCTGGTGTAAACCTAGAATGACATGATATTGAAAGACTTTTTTCTTTCTTGCATTATTCCCCCCCCCACACACACATTTATGCATATAGTGCTTGGGTGCAAGCCAGAGATGCCGGGGTGGGGGTGGGGGTGGGGGTGGTGAGAGGATTCACCAGAAACAGAATGGGGAGCAGAACGGATAGATCTACAGAAATACACTGCTGAGAGGAACAATGGGCAAGATGGCAGAGGTCTGCTGCACCATGTGGGTCAGCTCCCTGACCAGGGATCAGACTTGTGCTGCAGTGGCTGTCCATAGCTTCATAGTGCTGTGGTTTAATGCATTGTGCTACTAAGGAGGCTTTTCCCCCACTCCCTTCTTTATTGAGCTATAGTTGACATGCAATATTATAATGTTGTATAAGTTTAAGATATACAATGTAATGATTTGACTCAAGTATATATTTCTTACAGGATTCTGAGAATGTTCTCTAAGGGTTTATTTTGGATAGGTAACACATATACATGGTACAAAATTCAAATGATACATTGGGCCTCCCTGGTGGCCCAAAGGGTTAAGTCTCAGCACTGTGAAGCTATCTGCAGTCACTGCAGCACAAGTTCCATCCCCTACCAGAGAGCTAACCCACATGGTGCAGCAGACCTCTTCTGTTTCGCACACTGCTCAGCAGTGTATTTCAGTCAGTCTGCCTGTTCTTTGCTTCATTCTGTCTCTGGTAATTTCTCACACTCCCTGCGTCTCTGGCCTGTACCCCACTTCTTATATGCATAAATAAATTAACCTGTTAAAAATACAATTCAACTTAAAAAAATTTAAATAATAACACTGTAAAACCATCTCCCTCCCTCTGTCCTCTAGAGGTTCGCCTTTCCAAAGAAGCAGCTGTTTCTAATTTGTTATTCTTCTAAAGACTAGTTTAGGTAGTTTTACTTTACAGTGTCTAACTCCACATTGACATTCCTTGGATGGCAGTGATCCTGTGTAGAGTTATAACTAATGTAATTTGACCAGTTATTTGGCTTTTGATGACCTATATCTAAAATTGGATCTTGAACAATTTCCAGATTAGAGGACTACAAAGCATGATGTAGTGAGGATCATGTGACAGTCTAGTATAGCTCCAACCCTCTTTTCTCTTCCTGAGTCAGTTTGGACAAAGGAGCAAAACTAGTTTATTTTATTTCCACCCACTTATCTGAATTGGCTTGCAGGAAATATAGTGAGTATTAATACATGTGGGCCAGCCGTTTCTATGTATAACTTGTAGACAGTAGTAATAATTAGGGCTTTTCGTTGGGGTTGCAGGAGGGCATGTTGTATTAGAGCCTTGAGATTTTCAGTGATGTGGAATAAGCTGATTCATATCAGGAAGCAAGCTATGGTAAACCATCTTAATGTGATCACTATTTCTTCTGCAATTTTAAAATGTTTTTTAAAATTTATATTTATTTATGCATAGAAGAACTGAGGTGTAGGCCAGAGGTTTGTGGGGGGGGGTACGAGGCTTCACTAGAGTGGGGAGCAGAACAGGTGGATCTACTGAAACACAGTGTTGAGGGAAGAAGCGGACAGGTGAGACAGGAGAGGTCTGCTATGCCATGTGGGTCAGTTCATGCTGAACACATGCTGCAGTGGCTGGCCATAGGTTGATAGTGCTGAGACTTTTATCTTTGCACCACCAGGGAGGCCCTCTGCTGTACTTTCTATCAATAGATAAGGCAGGTATAGTCAGACACATAGGACCTCTGTAAGTCAGTTGAGCTTTTATTGCATAACTTGCTTACTCTGTATGTAGGGAGATCCAGAAGTAGTCATAACACCTGATTTTTATTAAATTATAGCTCAGTTAGTAGCAAGACTAACATGAGGCATAAAACATTAGGGACACTGCCAGAGTGTAAGTGTCATAGGAGTTCAGAGGAGAGGGAGATCAATAAATTAAGCTGGTGTCAGTAAAGATTTCCTGAGTGAAGTTGGACTTGCAGAATGGAAAATGTTTTGACAGGAAAGCAGAGGAATATATTGTTTGGAGGTATTTATCTCTTACTCTTTCCAGGGAACCTAAATTCACTTCCAGTTGAAAATGTAATATATTTACATATAATTCAAATTGTAATGAAAAATGTGACTCTTCTTCCCATTCCAGCTGTCTAGTTTTATTCTCCAAATTCTGTCACTGTTACCACTATCTTTTTATAAATATTTATAAATATACACACACATATATATCTTTTTAAAATTCAAATAGAGCAAGCTATATATTTTGTCCTGTACCTTAATTTTAATGCTCGATGGATTTCTGAATTGGCACATAAAGATATCTCTTACATTCTTTTCATGATTGTATAGTATACCACTATAAATAAATAAATTTGATTTATTTAACCAATTTCCTGTTGATGGACACATTATTACAAATAACAAAATGCAGTGAAAATTCTTTTTTTACTTATTTACATACAACTTCAAGTCTATTTTAGGACAAATTCTAAGCAAAGGACAGAATTCTAATCAACTCTGACAAGCCTGGATGTGTAAGGATTGATGTTCACCATGTGGTATTTTGAAAGGGTTACGGTCCATAGGAGAGTGGTCCATAGGGCCTGTCTTCATTGGTTCCTGTCCAGATGGTTATGGCCTGTCATTATTATCATCATTACTGCCAACATTATTTACTATTTACCCTCTCTTCTCTCATTCTTCCTTCCCTATAGACAAACCTACCTATTTTCAAATTGAAGGAGTCCTGTGTACGAAGGCGCTACAGTGACTTTGAATGGCTAAAAAATGAGCTGGAGCGAGACAGTAAGGTACAGTCCCATTCTCTGCGTGGTACTCTTGGAGGAGATCCATCTAGATTGAGAGGGTATAAGAAAGATCATAGTCTGTAAAATGTTGGAAGCAACAGTGAGGGTGAACACTCTTATCTACCATATTCCTGATATTGGATCTTGGTAATACCCTTTGAAACTTGAAAGTGGTAACTTCAGGACAAATTTCAAAGAAAAAGTACTTAGTGGCTAGTGAAATTGTACAACTTAATGCCTGTGGAAGCTGAGAATGGAAAATATAGTGTTAAGGAAAGGCCTAGCTAAATTCTTGGATAGTAATGGGTTGTTAAGGAGAGGGAGGAATGTTTGGGATTTATTTCCTTTCTTTTGAGATGGTAAATGTGTCTTCCCACCAAAAGAGTTGTATTAGTTTTTAATACAACTCTGGTTCTAAGCAATCTTGTTCTCATGGGTCTCAGTTTGTGCAAGTTGCTGGCTCTGGGAGAAGATAGACCCTATGCCTAGTAGGAAATGAGGTACACAGTGCTCTACCATCTCACTTCCTTTCTGTCTTCTCCCATGGGACTGGTATTTTGTTCTCTTATAATAGATTGTAGTACCGCCACTGCCTGGGAAAGCCTTGAAGCGACAGCTCCCTTTTCGAGGAGATGAAGGGATCTTCGAGGAGTCTTTCATTGAAGAAAGGAGGCAGGGCCTTGAACAATTTATTAACAAGTAAGTCAAGTTCTTGGGGGCATCTCTTGCTACTTTCTCTGTCTGTGCATTTCTTCTATCCTTTTTTATAAAGGGTAATGTGGTATAGTGGGCTGACTGGACAGTAAAACTCTGTTCTTTTCATCAGAATTCTGATCCTCTACCTCAGGGTCTGAGACAGTGCTACATGTTGGACGTGTGTAGGAGTTTCCTGACCTCCACCCCACTCTCCCTCTACAATGTTAGGGTTGAAGTGGTACCCTGCTGCTGTCCTCTACTTGCTAGACCTTCAGGACTGGCCTTGCCCTTCTTCCCCCCCCCCGTTCACACCCCCATCTGTTTGTGAATTCTCTCTGATCCCAAGCACTACTGATAATCATCTTGGTCTCATTATAGAATTGCTGGCCACCCACTGGCTCAGAACGAACGCTGCCTACACATGTTCCTGCAGGAGGAGGCAATCGACAGGAACTACGTCCCTGGGAAGGTGCGCCAGTAGGAGCTCCTCTCACCACTTGACCTCTACGTTCCTGCTGAAATGACATTGGTTTTTACACTAAGCCTCTCTCTGTCTTTGATCTGAAGTTCGCTGCCCATCCCCTGGCCTGATAAACTGTATGGTATTGTGCTCCTTGGTACCTGACTGCATCATGGGCACTATGCTAGATCCTCTTCTGAGGAGAGATGGGAAACCACAGGAAGATGCCCTTTGGGATTGGGGGGTGGGTGGGAGGATTGAACTGGAAGGCAATTTCTTGGGCATTTACCCATGCTAGAAGGCTAATCTTGGTGGGGGGTGGGTCTCGTGCTGGTGAGGCACTTGAATACATAATGATGCTGCAAGTCCAGGGAATTTTTCTTACTCTTAGGTTTAACCAGGAACACTGAGCAGGGAACAACCCTGCTTTTCCCACCTGCATGAACTTTTTCTTCTTTGAGAAGACTCTCTTTGTTTTTCTCTAAGCCTGCTCCCAGTTTTCTCAACAGTTTCTTTTCTTGCTTTCTCTCTCCCTTGTTGCTTTTCATGGCAGTAATCCTAGAATCTAAGCAGTCTATTGTGTGGAACAAGGTGTATGTGGGTTTTCCAGACCCATCATCATGGCTGCTTCAGAGTCAGAAGAAAGCCATAGGGCAGTAGGGGAACTCCTGTTGCCTACTCCCTATTCTTTGCGGCACCCCAGTCTGGCTGCCTGTTCTTGCTCACCAGAAGGTGAGCCAGTGTGGGTCATAAGTTCTCCCTCCCCAAGTCCTTGCTACTTTATAGGTTAGCTTTGCAAGTTTGGTGGCTTGAGGGGTGGGGGTAACTCACCACTGCTAGGTAACTCCCTGAAGGGTGAGAGTGGATCATTTTCTAGGTACCTACTGTGGTGGGGAGGGGCATCACCACTCTTCCTTCCATCTTCCTGTTTCCCCCATCCCATTTAGTGCTGCCACAGGGCAGAAGCACATGAACAAACCACACAGTCTCTGACTTCTAAGCACTTTGAGCTGTTGAATGGGGCTTAAGGGCAAGAGTTGTCGCTGCCCTTCTCGGCTTGGTCACAGGGTTACTGAACTACTTTCTGTGGAACCCCAGCTTTCTCTCCAGAAGTTGAGCTAAGGATAGCAGCTTGGCATGGATATCCCAAGTCTTTTGAGTCTGAAGCCACTTCTTGAGACTGGCAACTTTCCTGGGTAGCAGCCTGGGAGATAGTGGTTTGTTTTGGGGGGGTCCAAGTGGTGGGATGGGAGCAAGTTTACTCTGGTAAGAAGTCAAAAAGTGGGAGCTCTTTGCCTGGATTCCCTACATGAAAGGATCGGCAGTCTCTTATATAGGGCCTTTGGGGAAAGGATTACTGATTCTGACAAGATCCTAATTGGAAAGATTAGGATTAGATTTTGACATGGCTTTGGAGTCCATCTAAATGCTGAAGTTTCCTGAGACAGATCAGTTCTTCAGCTGTTGGGCCTGTGCCAGGGGCTGAGCAGCCCCTAGAGAGAGGCTATGCTCCCTTCCCCATTTCCCCAATGTTGGTGGTGTTGCTGCCATTTTGATTTGTATCCTGTTATTGACTTTTTAAAAAATTCCTTTCATTGTGCACAAGTGCTGAGAGCCTGAGGCCTCATTTCTGCTGTGGATACATTTCTGCTGTGTATATATCCTGCCTCGGGGCTTTTATTCAGCAAACTGTTCATTCTTCTGTCAGACAATGTCATATTCAACTCTGTTCATATTAAACCACTGTGAAGCAAACTTCTTTTCTCCTGGCCTTTGTTGTAAATTTACTAGTCTTTAGTGCCTAGAATATGTTGGGTGCAGAAATCATGCAACATGGTCAGTGTCCTGAGGTCATAATTTTTGCATTTAAATAAAAAAAAAAACAGCCAGAAACCTAGCTGCCTGAGCCATATTTATTGTTTCTCTTCAACTCAACAATTGACTGTCACAGAGGTAATACATCTGTTTGCAGGAAGTAGCCATTAGGACTCAGAACCTTTGGTTTATGTTAGATTTAGCAAATTTGGTTTTAAGCTTTGTGGTTTTGTGATAATTTGGACAGAATATATATTTAGAGGTGTGTGTGTGTGTGTGTCTCTGTGTGTGCGTGCTTGTGGGCATATGTGTATGCATGTGTATATGTATGCATATATTAGTGTACATAAATAAATGTGGGAATGTGCTCATCTTCCTATACACTCATACACCACCTGTAAACACTTTCTTTCATAGGATTTTTACCCCAGTTGATATTATTTTATTTCAAATAGATTTTATTTGCACAGAAAAGTGAGTGAATCCTAGTAACTTTTGATAGGTGGATATTATTATCATACCAGTATGTTCTGATATGGCATCTTACACAAGTGGGTTTTGGAAAAGGTTTGTCATTTGGGAAGCCAAAGCTAGTTTTAATCATGTAGTTGAGCATGGAGAGGTATAGAAAATAATGTGTTTAAAGCATGAATTAAGGAAGTTAAGAGGCTTCAGTAATTTAGGAATTAGATAAAGATGTCTGAGAGGATAGGGAAGAATAGATGTTTTTGTGAGAGAAATGTTACCTTCAGAGGCAGCAGTGTTAGAGAATGAATTAAGACAATAACTACAAACAACAGCTATAAAATAAAATTAATAAAATGTTGGACAGATGACATTCTTTTAACAAGTACTAATTAATATCCTTTTATATGCTCAGTATTATGCTAAAACTGGGCTGGGCCAGGGATAGGGTGGTCATGGTCTAAATAAAATTGATTACATTTCTCTTTCTTCACAGACTATTTTAGTTTAGAAAATATCTATTTAAGATAAGAAAATGCTAGAGACAAAATCAGAGGTCCAAGCAATCTAGTTAGTAATAGTTTTTTTTTTGTTTTTGTTTTTTAATACCAGGTGAGTAAATTCCCTCTTTTTGGAGTTAACTTGGCCACTTTTGTACAGTAACTAGGTCTGGAAAGACACTCAGAAAATTCTAAGCTCTCTAGCCCATCAGTGCTGAGGAGAAGCATACTTTTATAAGAAATTCAAGTATACATTCATCTACATGTTTACTGCTACTGAATTCCCTTTATTCATAGCACAGACACAGTTCAACCTCACACTGGATCCCGGGAGACAGAGACAAATACTTAACATAATAGCTAGATTCAAAAGAAGTCTAAATCTTCACATTCCAAAGATACTTTATAAACCTTTGGCCATTTCTTTGAGATGAGGAGTTGAGCTAGTAAAGGGTAGGAGAGATGGACGGCATACAGGCTACTTTGGGGTTTTTGTTTGATGAGTTCTGCTATATGAGAAACTTCTGTGTTCAAATGTGTGCTTTAATAATTTCAATAAAATTACTTTCTGTTGTGGAAATACAGACCAGCTGCTCACCAAAATGGATGGTTCTTCATATCCTTAAGGACTGTTGAGTCACTGCTGGTCTTCTCTTCTTAGTCATAATAGCAGTTTTAATTTTTCCTCACTTGATTAATTTTAAACCCTTTTATCTTTATTATTATTAATTTTTTCAAGGTCCTTACATGTCCCTAGTGATAGTTACAAACTGGACACTGCTTTAATTGTAACTTGAAAGTAAGGTGGTGGTTAGAGTCCATTTATACATTGCAGTATTCAAGTTACTTTTAAAATATAAACACTGGCCCTCCCTGGTGGTGCAGTGGGTTAGAGCACAACACTGAGAAGCTAAAGCCACTTCCACATGAGTTCGATTCCCGCCTGCCCCGAGGAGACCCACTTAGCTCTGCAGTCCTCTCCTGTCCGCCTGCTTTTCCCCTCAGCAGTATACTTTTTCGATCTGCTTGTTCTGCTCCCCACTCTGTCTCTGGTGAAGTCTCTCGCCGCCCTGCACCTCTGGCCTGTACCCCAGTCTGTATGCATAAATAAATAAATCTTTAAAAAAATATAAACACTTTGTGACTTTTTTTTAAAGATTTTATTTATTTGTGCATACAGAACTGGGGTACAGGCCAGAGGTGCAGGGGCAGTGAGAGGCTTCACCAGAGACAGAGTGGGGAGCAGAACAGGCAGATGGCTGAAGTACACTGCAGAAGGGAGCAGCGGGCGGGTCAGGAGAGGTCTGCCGCCAAGTGGATCACCTCCAGGGCAGGCGGGGATCGAACTCATGCAGAAGTGGCTTTAGCTTAGTGCAGTGCTTTAATCCGCTGTGGCGCCAGGGAGGTCCCACTTTGTGACTATTTCAGCTTGTGGTTCTTTGCTACTCCCTTCCCAACCACCCACCATCCCTCATTCCTCTTTCTTTTTTCTCCTTGCTTATACAAAAGATCAATTGTTCTTTATTTTAGCTATCTTCTGTTTATACTTTTGAGATCAGAAAACTCATTCCTTATGAAACAAAACTGGGGTAATTGTTAACATTACAAAAGGAGTCTTTAAATCATGGCTGACTTCTTTAAAATAGATGCTTCCTATGGTACTGTGGTAAGTTTTTGAATATAGGTCATCAACTACTTGATAAAAACTGAAGGTAACAGATTAAGAGGCACTGGCAATTGTAGGTCAACCAGAAACTGGATAAAGCAGTAGTTTTAAGTGAACAGTAAATAGATGCATAGTATTATTTCCTAACATGTCTTTGGAATGAAGACATAGGAAGATCTGAAAATCAGTAGAAAGAATATTAGGCCTGGTATAGAAACCAGGATTCTGAGTTGGCCGTCCTATTAGCTGGCCATGGCACCTTAAATTGTTTCATCTGAGCCTATTTACTTCAAAATGTCGGGATTTGACTGAGATCTAAGTTATCTTGAAGCTCTAATTTTTATGGTTTCCCACCCCTGCAAAGTATTTGATTAAACCCTGAAGGTGATACCAGCAGAAAAGACGAAGATACAGTGTTTTCCATATGATGAAGTTTGCTGTAGAGCAGTGAGCTTCCTCTCCTGGAAATGCGATTCTTTACTCTGATTGGATTTTGTTTGCCCACATCCTATTCTTTCCAATCACGAGTACCCAGCTGAACCTAAATGATGATTTGACTTATAGTTGCCCTAATTTTTTTTCAAACATATATTTATTTGTGCATACAGAACTGGGGTACAGGCCAGAGGTACAGGGGCAGTGAAAGGATTCACCAGAGACAGAGTGGGGAACAGAACAGGCAGATCATCAAAGTACAATGCTGAGGGGAGCAGCGGGCGGGTCAGGAGAGGTTTGCCACACCATGTGGGTCACTTCCGGGGCAGGTGGGGATCGAACTGATGCTAAAGTGGCTTTAGCTTCTTAGTGATGTGCTTTAACCTGCTGTACCACCAGGGAGGGCCCAGTTGCCCTAATTTTACCTAGTTCTTGTGGCTGAAGGGTTTTAATGAAGTACTTCATACCTATATGGAACTATTCTTATTTATAATATATAAATTATACTTTGATTATTCTGATTTTTAAAATACCTATTTTGTTAAATATGTTATTGTGGTAACAAAATTTAAAAGAATCTAATGCTGATAATACTCAAACAAAATGCATAAAAAGTGAGAGATTTCTCCTTGCTTCCTCTCCCCACTTCCATTCTCTAAATGTAATCTAATTTGATTTGTGTCTTCTTAGACATCTTCTCTGTGCACAAATCTATGTAAGTATATATTCAATAACATAAATATATTCATTCACATATACATGTATGAATATCCATCCACACACTTTTGTGTAGATTTCTTTAAACAAAATGGAGTATTAAATGTACTGTTTTACAACTTAATTTTTTATGTTGCAAGGTATTGTGGACTTTGTCACATTAACACATAGAAATTTTTTAAAACAGTGGCATACCTTGGTGTTACAGTAGTATAGCAACTCAATAAACCTTTCTCCTTTCAGCAGCTTTTGCCCCCTGAGTTTGACTCTGCAGAGTTGTGGTTGCAGTGGTGCAAGTCCTTAATCTATAGAGCTGAGATCCATGCGTTTAAGGAACCACCAAATGGCTAGGAACTATTCGAAACCCCAAATAGGCCAGTCTGCCCAATAATAGTTGGGCTTTCTGGGCTCCACCAGAATTTTCTAAGTACCAAAGATAGAACTTACCATGCTGCTACATCAAACAACTAATTTTGCAGCTTTGGCACTAATTAGCTGAATGTGTTTTGGCAAACTACTTAATTTCTGAGCCTCAGTTTCCATATCTATAAAATGGGCATGATATTGGTACTTACCTCACAAGTTTGCCATGAGAATTAAATGTCTCATACCTGGAAAAGAGAGCACTCCAGAAACAATAACAAACAAACAAACAAACAAAAAAACATAGCATTTCATGGTACCATATCATGATTTAATGATTTACTTCTCAATGGAATTTAGTCTCTAACCATTCACTATTACAAATAATGCTACCTACAGCCTTGCTTTTGTATTTAAGTATTTCTGTAGGGTGGATTTTGAGGAAAATTGCTAGGTCAGTGGATGTAAACATTTTACATTTTGATAGGTACTACCAAGTTGTCTTAAAGAGTTCAGTTTAAGTTCCCATTTATAGCAAGTGAGAAATAGAAGTTCCTGTTTCCACACAGAAAGGTCTCTGGCAAAATATTGAACAACTGATAATCAGACTAGTTAATGAAGATTTATTTTTTAGTTTTAATTTGCATTTTCTGGTACATTTATAATACCACTATCAAATTTTTATTATTTAAATATATGTAGCATGGGGAATTTTAAAAAAATTAGTTGTTTTTTAAAAAGATTTATTTATTTATGCATACAGAAATGGGGTAGAAGCCAGAGGTGCAGGGGCA